ATCTAATGTAAAATACTGATCAGGGAAGTTGAGAAAGGCTTTTTGTTATCACTTATTTACTCAGTCTTATTATAAACATGCTCAAATGATAACAACCAACCCAAAACCAAAAATGAACCCCCCAACCCCCCCAAAATCAAGTGTTTAAAAAAATAAGGTTACATAAAGTATACCTTGTTTTAAATCTAAATTCTGTTTGGTTTTTGTTTTAACAAACTCCACTTTTAAGTAAACCCCAAATTAACTTTTGCTAGGACTGTATCAATATCTAGTAAGTTTGAATGTGCATCTTTTTTAGTGATTCAAGAATTCTGCCTGTGGCTATTTATATTTTTGGCACACACCTCACATCCCTTAGCATTGTTTATTGATCTGTTTAGACAGACTATGATAAAAAAAAAACAACAGACTTCCTGTATGCACATCTGTCACTGTGATGTGTCACTTTTTTCACCTTCTCTTTCTATTCCCATTCCTGACCACTCTCTTTTTTTCCTTTTAAAAAAATTTAAAAGCTTCTTGTAATCCTAGACCAGTGATATAATTTTATTGATAGTTTGTGAGTGAGATTTGAAGACATTGCCTTAAAGAAACATGTTAGTTGGGACTGGAGATACTGCTCAGGATAGAGCTCATGCCTGGGAAAGGCAGAGCCCTAATTTGAATCCCTGGTAACACAAAAATAAAAATAAATAAAAAGTCAAATCTGTGTGAAGCATAAAAATGCAAAACAATACTGTTGTAGTCTTGTGGATAAATACATCTGCGTGAAGAGACCCAAGGAGGTGATGAATACCAAACTTAGATTACCTTTATGAGGAAGCTGAAGGCATTTTTTCCTTAAGCTTGATGGTAGATACATAGCTGTTTATTAAATAATACTTTACACTCCTTTGAATATTTAAGCTATTTTATATATTTTTTTAATAGAGGAAGACTGGAGATGTAGCTCAGTTGTAGAGTGTCTAGCATGAACTGAGTTGGCCTTGGATTCCACCCCCAGGAAAAGGAAATAGTAAGAAGTGACATTAGAATCAAATTGAATTTTCTCATAGAAAGTATAGTAAAAATAGACAGTGTATGAGAAGAGTTTGAATAGACTATTTAACAGGTAACTATTAGGTGAGAAACAGGAATTCTGAAAGTA